TGCTTTTCCAAGACAGAGTTTCTCTATATAATATCTCTGGCTGTCCTGAAACTACATTTGTAGACCAGGCTGGTCTTGAACTCACAGAGATCCACCTGCCTCTGCCTCCCATGTGCTGGGATTAAAGACATGTGCTACCACCACTGCTCTGCTGTGTCCTCTTCTTTAAAATGAGATTTCATATATTCCCAAGCTGTCCTTGAACTTGATATGTAGCAGAGGGAGACACAGAACTTCTGATCCTCCTGCCTCCCTGTCCTGAGTGCTTAGATTACAGATGTGAGCTACTAGCCCTGACCTATGAAGTTCTGGAGACTGGACTCAGAGCTTTGTGCCTTAGGCAAGCATTCTAACATCCGAGCTACATGCCCAGCTCCTCTACACTTTTCTTAAGTTGAAAAATAATCAAGTCATGTGCTACCAGACCAGGGCCACTGTCAGTGAAGGTGTTAGTTGTATACTCCTTGCTGCCTATGTGAAATGCCAAGGCTCATGGGCAACCTTGGGACCTGGCAAGGTATAGTCTACCCCAGTTAAACTATGGAGAATTTTAGACACATTTGGATCATTTAGGAATTCTTCTGTAGAACAAAAGATAAAGAACAGAAAAAAATATAGCCTAAAACTTTCAAGATCTAATGAGAGCTTTATTAATACATCCAACTGGCCAACAGACTCTGTGAAGGATGGACACAGAAACATATCCAGCACAACTGAACATCTGAAGGCCAAACCAGCAGCTCACAGAGCTGTGCAGGAATGGTACTTCCATGCACGGTGCTAGTGAATTAAAACATATGACAGAAACCACAATGAACAAGTAGATTGGTTGTACAAAATAGCATTATAATAATTAGAGAAATTAAAATGTTACATTAAAAAATGAACACAAAGAACAGAAATAAGAATGAAATAGAGAAATAAAAAGACAAGTAATGTTTAAAATAAAAACTTATGGTAGAAATAAATTAAACTACACCAATAATACTAAAGGTGAATGGATTAAAGAACCCAATCAAAAAAAAAATTGCAGGGATTTTTCAGGTTGGGCAGAAGACTCAAGATCCCATCAATCATTGCTATCTTCAGGAGACTCACTTAAGATTCAAATATCTGAATAGATTAAAAGCAACCACTAGAAAGCCAGGTATACCACTGTCAGAAAAAAAAAATGATTTCATGGATTTTGTTTCAAAAATCAGGTATTAAACCCAAGATCTTGCATGGATTTGACAAGTGCCCTATCACTGAACTATATTTCTATCCCTAGCATAGGTCTTAAAACAAAAATGAATGTTACTAGAGGGGAAAAAAACCCCAGTATCTTATAATGGCAAAAGGATCAATTCATCAGAAAGCTATAGCCATTAGAAAGATAGGGCATACCTAATAAGAGAACATCAAAACTCATGAAGAAAAACAGACAACTGAAGACAAAGGAATAATTCAGTCATAATGGTTGGAGACACTGGTATCTGCACTTAACGGATAGAGAACTGGGCAGAACATCAACAAAGCAACAGGAGACATAAACAGCACTGTAAGCCAGCATGCCTAACAGACATCCCCACAACACCCCACCCAACCTTCTCACAGGACAGTCTCCAGGCCAGCCACATGCTAAGCTCCACAACAACCACAATGCATCTGGAAGGAATGGAACAATACAAAGCATGTCCTCTGACCACAGTGGAATAAATTCTGAAATCATCAAAAGCTATTTGGAAAACTCACAAATATGTGGCTATTAAACAACACACTGCTAAATAACCAGTGGGTCCAAAAGGAAAACTCAAGAAAATACTAGGTGGCATATAAAAGACATGACACACTGAAACATGGGATGTGGGTTACAGAAAAAGTCATAACTATAAACATTTACAATAATGAAGGAATATGTATGGGCCTTGGGAGGTAGCCCAGTGGTTCAAGTGCTTGCCATGCAAGAATGAAGACCTTAGTTTGGATCCTTAGAACCCATGTAAAAACCTGCTGTGCCTATATTCTCCACATGGGTAGGCAGAGGTAGGAGGATCCCTAGAGCTTTTTGGCCAGTCAATCAAGCTGAACTGGTTAATTCCAATGAGAGACCCAGCTTAAAAAGTAGTTGGAGAAGTGACTGAGAAAGATACCAGATGTTCCTGGCCTCACATAGGAGCTCACACATACATATACATATCACACACACACACACACACACACACACACACACACACACACACACACACACACACGAAGATGTGCAAGCAGTGCAAGCAGCAGATGTACTGGCACAAGTCCGACATTTGGGAAGTAGAAGAAGGAGGACCAAGAGTTCAAAGCCAGATTAGCAATTTTGGGGCCAGCCTGAGCTACATAAGATCCTGTCTCCAAACCAAGCAAGGACAAAACAAAAATGAAGACTTGGCCAAGTATGGTAGCTTGTACATACTCAGCACAAGGGTGGCTGAGGCACCATGGTCACAAGTTTGAGGCTGACCTGGACTATGGAGAGAGAATATCTCATAACAAAAATAAATAAATGATAACAGTGAAAAGGTGCACAGACAGAAAACAAGGCTTTGCCCCCACACCAAGAATTGAGAATAAAGATAAACTAAGCAAATCCACAGAAGGAAACAATTAATTTCAGAATGCAAAATCGAAATCAAGGATTTTCTGGGATACTTACAAGCCCACACCCCCAGCAGCACTATCCATGGTCGTGGGTGGAAGCAGCCAGCTATCCACTGAAGACTGAAAAGGGTATCAGTTCCGTGGGATGCCACAAAGTCTTAAAAAGAAATTATGACCCATGATATGACATTGATGAGCCATGGTGATCTTCCTGTCTCGGACTCCCCAGTACAGAGGTGGTCATTCAAATCACAGGTTTATAAAAGTTCAATTGCCCCTTTTCTCTCTTCAGGAAGACTTGTGCTAAACACCCAATAACATAAGAATCTCAGCTAGCTTGGGAGTCATAGGGTGAAGGTTCAGGGAGGAATGTGGCCCAGTGGCTGCTCGTGGTCAGCAGAGGGTGGATAGCTCATCCAAATCTCCACCATCTAGCACCCAGCTGAGGGGTGTTCTCTTCATGGTGGTGCCGGAGCTAAGAGAGTACTGCCTGAAAGCCTATAGCAAGCGTGTCCATTGTGTCTCCCCCCTGCCAGGTACTTCCCCTACCTTGTGTCGCTGCACCCATGTGCTAGTTAGGGTTCTCCTTTGCCTTATCCTAACTCTGCCTCCACCACCAAAGCAGGCAGGGAGATTCCCTGGGCCTCCAGCAGTCCTGAATAGAATCAGGTTTGAAAATAACCAAGATAGGACACTCTCAGCCAGCTGGTCTAGGCTGCACAGAGCACAGGTCTCAGGTAAGGGGTGGCCTGGTGAACTCACAGAGCACCAAGTAGCAATGTCGTGTTTTCCCAGCTCTATAGCATTCAGAGACTCATCTGTCCCACTGCCGGTTGGATCCTCCTCCCTCACCTGCCATGGTGCTAAGACAGAATGATCTGTGTGAAGGGAAGCTAGTATTAGCACTGTGCTGGGAAAAGGCCCCTCTAGCCTAGTGTTCAGAAGACTCTCACCTGCCTGGGTTAAAATCCTGGCTCCTCCCCTGACCAGCTCAACTTCTGCATGAGTTCCTTCCTTGCTCAAGTACTAAACCTGGCCTCTCAGAATGAGGCTCATTCAAGCCTGAAAGACAGGCAGTCACCAGCACTGCATGACAGCCTATCAGGGTACATTTGGCATAGGGTCTGACTTCTCCTCAATGTGAGTAGATCTTACTCACCCATTCCCAAGCTGGCCACAGTGAGTGGTTCTTAGGGTGTCCTGAATGGCTTGCATGTGGGAGCATTTAGATGGGAAGGAGTTGCCAGGTAGTAGGTGGTGGGCAGACTTTAAATCCTTATCAATTGCCTGATCAGAGTTCTACCCAGAGCCCTGGAGGAATGGAGCTCAGTCTCCAGTGAAGTTACATGATCCCATGGAAGGATGGGGTGTGGAGTGTGGGGCACACTATCAGTGTCCTGTGGGACAAATGAGTCTAGGGTGGGTGTGGTGTTCTGCTTTTCTACCAAGTTACCCAGAACCGTTAACAGCTGTGTTGGAGCTATACCTGAAGCATCAAGGGTCCGAAGCCTGGCACAGCCCTTCCTGAGAACTACCTGGGATGCATGAGTGGCAAGTCCATCCTGGCTCCCCACCCAGCTGCACTCTGGTTTCCAGCATCTGGAGGGTCATATTCTATGGCTTTTCAGAGCTGATTGCATTCCATTTCCATTACATATGTAAAATAAAGCCAGCACCACATTATGAAACAGAAAATGAAAACAAACAAACAACAAAAATAGTAGGGGGAAAGGATCACTGACTAATAAGCTCAATCAAACTGCACTGAAAAAGATGGCTGCTCTCTTTGCTCCTGGGGATCTGTCTCTATCGGGGAGTCTGTCATCCAGAGAATGGGACCAGCCACAGCTGCTTGGCTCCATCACCCAAAGCACAGGGGACAGAGTGGGGCTGCCCCCAACACCCTCCATCTCCCCATCCTGCACACCAAGAGGGATGCCAAATAGGCCAGGACCCCAATCCTTCCTTGCTCTAGGCAGAGGAGTCTGTGCTGGATCTAAGGGAGGGGGTACACATCTGGATTCCTGGCCAGGAGCCCACATTCCTTCCTGGTGAATGTGAGCAGATGGGGCCTCTGGAGAGTTATGAAGAGGTTGTTGGCTGCCTCCTGCCCCACTATAATGGGACCCACCCTGCAGGAACACTCGTGGGACCCGAAGGGTCAGAGCCTTATGGGGGGTTCTGGTTTGGGTCCAGAATTCCCCATGCAGATTGCTGAGCAAGCAAATGGACCCAAGTAGGGTCTGTATCCCTCCACCCCAGACAGCTTATCTCACTCAATGGTATCAGGGAAACAGAGGGCCAGGGGAAACCATGGCACCCACTTGCCCATAGACCCAGGCAGGAACGAAGCTCAGAGAGTCCAGCTGGCAAAGCTAGCTTACCTGAGGGCAATCCTTAATGTAGTGTCCTTTGTTGAAACACAGGTGGCATAGGTAGTTTGGTGGAGGTCTCTTGCTGGGCTTGCGGGCCTCAGAGGTAAGGGTCAGATCTGAGAAGTGCTCAGTGAGGGAGCTGAGGCCATCAGCGATGTTGTTGAGGGAGCCATAGGGGGAAGTATTCCTGTATACACCACTCAGCGCCTGTGGGAACAGAGGCTGTTCAGGGCTGTGGTGAAGGAGGATTTCACTCACCACCCACATCAGTTCACACAGAATCTTCAGCTAGCCTCAAAGCCTAAGCTCAAATCCTAACTCTAGTGGTGGGTTTGGCCTCAGGGGCCCTGCCTATACTGTGGGAACATGGGAGTGACCTCCTAAGGCTTCCATAGGGTAAAGTGAGGTCACAAGTGCTTTGTCACATGTCTAGGCCCTAGGACCCCTGGGTACATGGTGATGATGTTAACAGCTGTGACTGTTGTTATTATCAGTTCTTGACACACTGCACCAGATGTGGGGGTTAATACCATCAACTTGACTGGATCTAGAATCATTAGGAGATAAATCTCTCAGCATGTCTTGTGAGGGAGTTTCCAGATTGGGTTAAGCAATTTGGGAAGACCCACCCTAAATGTGGGAGGCATTATTCCATGGGCTGGGAGTCCTGGACTCAATAAAAAGGCAGGTGAATCAGGTCTGCATCAATGTGACCATCAGCCCCAGGCCCCTGATGGCATGACTTGCCTGTCATGATGGACAGTACCTTAAGCTGCTCTTGCCTGCTATTTTGACACAGAAACAAGAAAAGTGACTAATACATATGGCATCATGGGCAGCCACTTGTCAGGTATGGAGGGACTTCAGACCCATCTCTGTTTACTAAATTTCCTATCAAGTAAGGAAGAGACTTGGGAGCTTGCAGTAATGGCTACCATTTTGAAGAACCGGAGGCCAATGCACAGAGATGCCTGGCCAGCCTGAGCCACCTAGTGAGGGAAGTGGCTACCTCTCCTACCTCCACATGACAGGAACCAGACACCCCATTGAGCTCCCAAGCATACATGGCTCAGGCCCTCCTGGTATATACAGCCTCTATTTACAGGCATCATGGGCTCCATGGCATAGAATTTAGTGAAGGTGGGGCCTGTGGTGGGGCCCCTTTCCTCATGAAGGGCCAAGGCTAGAAAGCAGCAGCTTCCCCAAGGAAGTCATTATGAACCTAGGCACAATGGCTGCAGTCCTCTGAGCCCACTACAGATGCCCCAAGTGGCAGAGATGAGCTCTGGCCTTGGGCTGATATGGATGAGACCCTGTTTTTAGGAGTCCTTAGACTTGTCCTTAGACAAGGTCTCTGAAACGAAAAACTTAGACTCCTTTACAAAGCAGGGAGGGGGCAGGCAGTGGCCTAGGGTACTCCTCTGTCTCCCCAGTATGGAAAGACAGATGAGAACTAACAGTAGTCTAGAGCATGGGAGACACCCTGCCATAACCTAATCTCATGTTTCCATCTTCAGAAACTGGTCACTCAGCCTCATCTTCCAAGTAAGATGGCATCTGGAGCCCCTGCTGGGTGGCTCTGAACTGGCCTTTTCTGTTTCTGGGTCTTTACTCCCTCTTACATTATTTACACCAGAGTCTGGCCATAGAAGAACACAAATATGCCATCCTGGAGCTGCCCAAGGCTAGCACCCAGCTTTCCTGCATAGAAGGAATCACATGGGACCTGATGACCCTCTACTTAGCCACCTGGCACATCAAGAAACCCAGGACAGAGTACTCCAGCACCAGCCAACATGTGGTCTGGGTCAACTCTTTAGCTCTTGGGTAAGCCCAGAATGGAGTGGCTCCCTAAAAGGCAACAGCCCCAATCCTGGAGGCAGTGGGCCTACAGGCTCACTTTCTAAAGTATAGGAGAACAGCTCTGGTAGAAATCAGATGAGGGGGCCATAGTGACAGCACTATGCACTAATGGAGTTAGCTGGTTCTCATCATACCCGGGTGAGTCACCCCCCCTTTCACATATGAAACGAGTATTCCAAACTTGTATTGAATGACTTGGAAACTAGTAACAAAAACAGTTTTCTGGGCCCTACCTCAGAGTCACCACAGCTGTGGCATGGGACCAACGGCATATTTTGGGGTGTGATCAGATATCCATAATGAGTTACCAGTTTAACAATTTTAAAGTATTCAGTTCCATGGCCCTAAGCATATTTTCACTAAAATACAACCACCACCACCATTCACTCCCAGACTCCCCCACCTCCCTAAGCCAAAACTCTAAACCCATTGGACAGTAATTCCTGACCTCCTTCCTGAACTGAATCTGCTTTCCAAGCCCCCCTTGAAAACTTGGGCAGTGGCAGTCACTTCTCTGTCCTTAGAGCATCAACTCCCGGGTTACTTTATATCTTGACTGGGAGATCTGTCCCATGCCAGGAGGCTATTGGCTCTATCATCCCAAAGTGGCCTGAGTTGGAGCAACATAGCCCCAGCCGCTTGGAGAAAAGTTCATCCAAACAAGAAATTTGAAGCTTCAAACCCTGTGACTCACACTCACAGCTGGGAAATGCAATTTCACAAAATAGCAACCCTCTTCTCTTTCCTCCTTTTCTTTCTTTCATTTTTGCTGGATAGGATCTTAACAAGTCCACAGTCTTCAAAACTGTTTTAAGAGGAAGGGGAAGTTTGGTGGATGCCAAAAGCAAACTAATTACACCCTAACTAGTCCTTTCCCAGGCTTGTGGCCACACTCTTAGACTCACAACAGCCCCTAGGGTATCCCCAAACAGCCAAAGACCTCTGGCAATCCACCCCTTTCCCTGGCAGCTCAATAGTCCCAGATGCCACCAGGGGTCACAGATATGCCTTCCCTAGAAGCATCATGGACAGAGCAAGAATAGAATCCCCCTCCCAGAATCCTGGCCTTCACTCCCACACACCCACCCACAGCCTGTCTATGTAACTGCTGCAGCTCTCTTCCCCAAGCCCCAACCCAAGATAAGTACCACTTGGGACTAAGAATCCAGAGAGTAGTCAATTGGTTCAACCACATTCCCATGTTATTAGTAGAGAAAACAGAGGTTCTGAGTGCTATAGGGACTCAGACCCATTTGGAACCAAGAGCCAACAGTCCAACTTTGTCTGGTCAGAACAGGATTGGCATGTCAGAAAGTGGTCTCCTCTGCAAAGCCCTATTTGAGCTCTGGCCAGAGGTGAGGCCTAGCTGTTTTTCTGGTCTGCAGGGACTGGGCAGAGCATAACATTGGGCCTGCCCTCTGGGAACAAAAGGGAGGGAGGGCAAACCTGACTGTCTCACAGGTGCACCATCGACACTGAAAAGTACACAGCACCCAGCATGTAAAAGGTGATCAGCCATTCACCTATGCTGCAGGGCCAGCAAGCAGAGCACGGATGCATGAGTTCCCAAGGCCCTGCTGTTCAAGGAGGGCAGGCCCACTTACGTGATAGATGTAAGCTTCTGGACTACATCATCCTGAGTCAGTGGCTGCAGAAGCTGGCAGGAAGCATGGGCCCCTTCCATCATACGTGGGGATTCACGGCATCAGACTCATGGTCATTGCTAGAACCTTCAAGGTTCTTGATGGGCTAATAGGGAAAAGTATAATCTGGTATAATCTACAGAATCTTTTCTTTTTCTTAGTTCCCCTTGACTGCTATGACACTATTCATCTGACCATTGATCTCATTTTTTGTAGACCTGGAAAATGAGACTCAAAGAGACTTAGTAACTTGCCTGTGGCCCCACAGGCAAAATGTGTTGGCTAGTTAAGATTCTAGCCACACACAGCCTCCATGCCTCCACCTATAAAAAGGTAGTCAGAGGATGATGTCAGGTGTGATGTACAGCCCCTTGGTGCTGAGCAAGATGTGGTACCTGATTATTTGGGATCTGTGAGAGGGCTGAAAGCTGGAGAAGGTAGTTCTGTTTGTAAACTATGGAGGACAGAGGCAGAGGGGAGGGGAACACTGTGTTCCCCTCTCCCCAGAGAAGCCTGCCCAGCTGGACTCTCCTGCAGGGAGGAACTGGCAGGCACTGCATAGGTAGACAGAGACTTCTAAGAGTGGAATGCTCTCAGATGGGGTGGGAGATGGAGGGCCTCTGCCAGGAAAGACACAGCCATGGGCAAGGCCAATGGTGAAAGCAATGTTCATGGCTGGGCCATAGGCAGGCTACCCTGAGGAGATCAGTCAAACACAGATGCTCTATGTCCCACTCTCACCCAAGACAAGCCCAAAGGAGCCTGATTCTAGCCCCCTAATTCTATGGGGTTCCTTTAATCAGTCAGACAGCTATATTCTCATCTCCTAAAGTCACCAACCCCTCACCTCTGCACCCAAAGCCACTCAGCCCTCCCTTGCCTGTTGTGAAATATTAGTTTAACTATGTAAAGGTGTGTTGCATTTGTTTGAGGCACCTGATTGGCCCAATTAAAAGCTAAATGGCCAATAGCTAGGCAGGAGGTATAGGCAGGACTTCTGGGCAGAAAGAGTAAGTAGGAGGAGGGATCTAGTCTTGAGAGAGACAGAGAGAGAGAGGGAGATGCCAGGGGCCAGACAGGCAGACAGACACGGAGGAAGCAGGAAAGCAGAATGAAAGTTAAAAAGCCCGAGGCAAAATGTAGATGAATAGAAACAGGTTAAATTAAGTTAAAAGAGCTAGTGGGACAAGCCTAAGCTAAGGCTGAGCATTCATAATAATAAGTTTCCAAGTCATGATTTGGGAGCTAGTTGGCAACACACACACACACACACACACACACACACACACACACACTGCAATAAGAAACAATCCACACCAACAATGACTGTACCTTCTTCCAAGAGATCTGTACTTTTGTTCCTAGGTCCTACCTGGAATGGTGCATGTATCCGTCCTCTACACAGACAGGTGGGCATGTCTGGGGTCGGGTGTGGGAGACAGTACACAGGTGAGAAGTGAGCCATAGGAAAATGAAGTACACCATAACTGAGGGCTTTCCTACCACACTTGGCTCTGCCCACATTCTTGTTTCCAAGGCCAGGCACATAATGAACTGGACAAGAGATCACGACCCTTTACCTATATGGGCATTGGCTCACACTTCACCTGTAAAATAGTTCTCTCCTACACTGCAGGTGCTCAATCAAAGATCCTAGATTAAGGTCAAGCATAATTCTTTTAGATGATGGAAATGGGCAGA